GCATCATGGCCAGGGCCGTCATACCTCCCAGACTGCCTGGCGCCTTCTTCTTCGGCTACTTCTTCTTCTTCTGATTGTTATTGTTGTTATTCTTGTAGTTGTTATTCTGGGTATGTCTGTTCTTCTTACTATTATTAGTTGTCTTCTTCGTCTTCGTTGATTTCATTTTCTTCTTCATATTATTGTTCTTATTGTTCGTGCTGTTATTATTCTTAGTATCATCATTATTATTATTATTCGTTTGGCTATTACTATGCTTCTTCTTATTCTTATCATTCTTATGAGTAGTGTTATTAGTATTCGTACAATTGTTACTGCACTTTGTGTTAGCATCCATATATCTACATCAGTACTCTCATCATGGTTATTAGTATTCGTATTCTTAGTATTTTCATTCCATTATGATTATTACTGCCATTATCATCGTTCTTCTTATTATTATTCTTGTTAGCCATATTCTTATTCAAGACGCTTCGCGGTCACCGCCCGCCCATTCCAGGTCTCGCCGGACGAGGCGAAGACGGCTCCAAGACGGGATAAACATAGCCGAACGTAATTTCTGACCCAGAGACGAAGATGGCGCCAAGACGGGATGATTACATCCCGACAATGGTGATTGACTTCCGCCCAGGTGTGTTTTGCATTCTGTCATGCGTTCATTTCCTCCTCCATCCCATCGTCGGTAGGACTCAGGTGTGCCGTGTGGCTGACCGATGTTCTATTTGTCGATTTGCCGTCGCGGATCAGTGGTATGGACGCTGGCCGTCTTGACCTTCGCTCCCTGTCCACAGCAGGAGGCCAGAGATAGCCAGAACGCTGCCCAAGACCAGCCATGCAGGCGATTTCTCTCCCCCAATCCCCGACTTCCGCCAGAAAAGTTTGGTCGCTCAGCAAAGGGGAGGAATCTTGGGATACATCCCGAGGGGGCTATTCGGACGCACCCCTGTCGAGGATGGACGCCCCCCCCTCGTATATCCCAGGGTTGGGCCCCAAATTGTTGATCCTCTCGAAAACCTCACGGAGCCTGGGATAGGGGTCGACGCATCCCCTTGGCTAGCCAAAGACGCCCCGCAAACGGCCCCCAAAGGCGCCAACAAGGGCCGAAGAGGGCCCAGAGAAGGGCCCCATAGGGGCCCAAGACGGGCCCGAGACGGCCCAGGCGGGCTTCCCCAAGCGCGAGCATCCCCGCATTGGACCGCAGCCCCGTCCGTCTTCCGGTGAAAACCTGGCCGGTTCTGCGTTTGAAATTGAGCCCAGAGCGTGTCCAAAAACGGCGTCGAAGTTGACACGCTGAAAAATGCCCCAGGCGAGCCCGGAAGTCAGCCAGAAGGGGCGTCCGGGCGACCCCGGGCGAGGCCAAAATTGTGCAAAACTGTTGTTTTTTGTATTTTTTGGGAGTTGGAAGTTTCCAGTCTGTTCGAGTTGTTGAGCCCAAGAGGCGTTCTTGAGGGCCCCAAGAGTCGATTTCAGAGGCCAAGAGGGGCTCCCGACGGGGTCAAAATCGAGCCGAAATGCTGCCGAAAACCGTATTGGAAGCGAACTGAAAATCGAACTCGTCTTGGACGCCGTTGGGAAGTCCTCTTGGGGCCCGACAAGGGTATTGAATGCAGCCAGGCGACGGAATTGCGGAGGCCTCCGGGGGGGGATTAGGGGGGGCTAAAGGTCTGGAAGAAGCCTTCGAAGTTAAGTCTCACACGCCCCTCAGCACAGTGGGCGGGCGGATTCTTATTGAATCGTTTTGCTCATTCCGCCGGCCCATATTATTGCGCGCCGTTGTCGACTGACCGAGTGGTCTTTCGCGGTGCGGAGCTGCAGTATCAGGCCTTGCGTTCGGCATGTGAGGCTTCTTGGTGGCCGCTGGGGGAGTCTTGAACGCGTCGCGGGCCGTCTGGAAGCGTTTTGTCTATGGGGACTCTTTCAGGAGGCCTCTTGGTGGTCTCTTAGGGACTCATAAACGCGCCTGGTCGTTGGCACTTGCTTGCGTGCTCGGGGGGGCACTTGGGGGGCCTCCTGGGGCCGCTTGGGGGCCTCTTGGGGGCCTCCTGAGGGCCTCTTGGGAGCCTCTTGGGGCCTCTTGGGGGCCTGTTGGGGATTCCGAGGGGCTTCTTAGGGCCGAGGGCTCGAAATGTTGTTTCGTGTTCCCCCCTGGGACCTCTCTTGGGGCGTTCTTGGGGCCTTCTTGGGCCGTTGGAGGCCTCTTGGGCCGTCTTGGAGCCCTCTTGGGCCCTCTTGGGGCCCTCTTGGGGGCCTCTTGGGTCCTCTTGGGGCGGTCTTGGGGGCCTCTTGGGCCGTCTTGGGGTGTCGGGAAGCCGAAAAGGTGGAAACGCCAAAATCTTTCCAAATCCTAAGGGGAAGCAATGATTTGTGCCTCTTGGGGCCCTCGTGCGAGTGCTCTTGGAGGCATCTTGGGCCGTCTGGGGGCCATCTTGGGCGTCTTAGAGCGATCTTATGGCATCTCGGAGCTCTCTTGTATCACCTTGAAGGGCTCTTGGCGGCCTCTTGGTCTTTCTTGGGGCTCTCTGGACGGCCTCGAGGGCGGCGCCCAGGAAGAAAACCATCTCTGATCCGAGTCTCCCAGGAGCTGCCCGGGGTACTTTTCGTTCGGGGACCCCCAGGGGCCGCCACGCGCGCGCGAAGTAGAATCACTGTAAAGCAGTCGCTGGAGATCTTAGCACGCCTCTGGCCCGTTGGGCCAGCGAATTTTTCTTTGATTGCCTCCTTCTTCTTCTTTTTCTTCTTCTTCTTCTTCTTCTTCTCCTTCCAGTGCGCATCCCCTGGCCCCCTGTTCGTCCGCGCACACGTGCCTCGCGCCATGGTGCGCGTCAGCCCCCCTCTCCTCCCGGGGGCCCTCTTCTTCGGCGCGCCCGAAGAATCGTAGGTGCTCCGCTGCCTCTGCTGCTCGTTTTTGTTTGTTTGCTCCTGCTCCCTTCGGGCCGAACGAAAGGCGGGGATAGGGAAAGGGGGGGTACGAAATCTGCTGCCTGCAGCCGGTTTCGGCCCCGGCGCCGGCCCCACTCCTCGACACCTGGGCGCCTCCTGGCGCCCGGAGGCGTTGGGAGAATCAGCTGTGTGAGCGGATTCTCTGCCCTACCCTCTGCTACCCCCCCCTTTCGTTCCCCCCGATACCCTGGGCGGGCTGTCACAGATGCTGCAGCCGCGCGCTCGCCAGCGGGACAAAAGTCGGGGGTGGACAGAACCCCCAACAGTGACACGTCGATTAGTGAATTGTCCGTTTTCGGTTTTCGAGAGGGCGCCGTGGTCGTTATTTCCCAGGCTTGCGCCCGCCAGGTTTGGCCCCGAAGTCGTTTTCTCTAAACCACGTTTTACTAAAGGGAGGTCTGTCCATCCCCGAAAAAGGGAGCCGCGACCGGGGCCGAGGAGACCGAGCAGAGCACTCCGGGCCCCGAGGAGCTCCGGGGCGGAGCAGCCGCCCCGACCCCCACAGCCACCAGCGCTTCGATTCTCGGAGGCCCGTGGCCGGGCCGGGCGACGGGGCAGAGGAGGAGGAGGAGGAGGAGGAGGAGGAGGAGGAGGAGGAGGAGGAGGAGGACATCGGCGGCGACCCAGGGGGGGGGAGTGAGAAGGGGCGGGCCTTCTCAGAAGGCTGGGAAGGCCGGAGCGCCTCTGAGAGAAGCATCGGCGCCTTCTGAGAAGGCCCGGCTCCTTCTCTCACTTCCCCCCTCCTCGCTCGCCGCCGAGGACAATTAGGGAAGCAGCGGGGGGAGAGGGAGCGCACTTTGCTGCGTGCCTCTGGTGTCGGCCCCGCCGCCGGGCCCACTCCTCGACACTCGGGCGCCTCTCGGCGCCGGGAGGCGCCAGGAAGACCAGCCGCGCGAGCTGATTCTCCACCCCGCTCTTTGCTATGTATGCTACCCTCTGATCCTTCCGAGTCAGGACCCCCACCCTGCCAGGCCGATCCGCAAGTTGCCCTCTTTTTCGGTTCCCGACAGGAGGTGCCGCGGCCGCGACATTCGAGGGCCTGGCGCCCGCGGGTCTGGCCCCAGGTCGTCTCCACTGACGTTTTTTGTTGTTGTTTGTTCTTTCAATGCTGTTCGTCTTTTGTTGTTTGGCTAACGGTGGTCCTGTCCACCCGTGCAAACCAGCGTTTGCTAAACGGCCCTGGGCGATTGCCGAGCCGCTCCGCTCTGCCCGAGCTCCTTCCCTCGGGTGCGCTGGCCAGGAGGGCCTCGCTTGCAGGGGCGCCCGCTTCTAGGCAGGGTATATGTGTGTGTGTTCTCTCTGCCCTCAGCGATCATCCCTGCGGCCAGCGCCGTCAGCGTTACTTCGGTTCACCACATCTCCAATGCCGCCGCAAGCGGTCCTGCCGCCACTGCCCCGCAACGCATACCGTGTCACATCAAGGGCACATCGCGGCAACACGCATTGTCTCGGAGAGGCGCGACCCTCCCCACCGCGGCCAAGGCAGACTGCCAGGAGCGAGGCGGGCGGGCACTTCGGGTGTAGTGAGTAGGCATCGCCGTCGAGCTGTGGTCCGAAACATCGCCGCAATGTGGTATGCAAGGTGATCGTTTTTCATTCATTGTTTTGCCGATCGGCGCGGCCCCCCCCCCCCCCCCGCCCACTGAAGTAGATCTTGGCTGTTTCTTGGCGCCTATTTCGAGCGGGTTGAATCTCCCCCAGAGGCAGCAGTCTTGCAAACAGTCGCGCTAAGCAGCGGTCTGGAGCGAGCCCCCCGCTCCCCCACCCCTTTCCGCCCAATGTCGAAACGACGAATAAAAAACGCTCACAAGATGGACGTGCGTGTGATACAAGGCAGGAAGGTGACGCCGTGGTATGGCAGCTGGAGCCGGTGGTCATGCTCTGTGCTGGCCCCGTCGGCTGTCGTTCTGCTTTGTGCACGCTCACGATGTGCATTGGCCAGCTGGGATGCCGCGCTCGCTCGGCGGAGTATGGAATGACAACACCGTGTCGCTTGCTGTGCCCTCTGTATCCACTCAGTGCCGTCGGGTTCGGAGGGGCGACCAGCGCTGCCCCGTGAGGTGATAGCGTTGGACTCCCTGGACACTCCAGAGCATCCGGAGGATGCGGCACAGGATCCAACGCGGGCGGAGGAGGCAGGGTGCCAGGAGGGTGAAGGAGGTGAGGAGGTATGGCATGAGCGGCGGGCGAGGGGGGTTGCGACAGAGACGATGAGAGGAAAAGGCTCGCCGACGGGAGCGGGGCAGGAGGAGGGAATGACGGGGGGGGTGGGGGGGAGGACGGGATGGTGAGTGAGAAAGGGATGGATGGATGGATGCAGTCAACTGGCATGAGGTGTCGTCTCCCTCTTTCCCCTCTTTCCCCTCTTTCCCTCTTCCCCTTTCCCCACCCCCACCCCCCCCTGTTCTCCTCTCCTCCCCTTTCCCCCCCTTCCCCCTCCGCCTCTTCCCCCCTCACCCTGTTCTGCTGTTTCCCCCCTCCCATGCCCCTCTTCCCTTTCGTGCCCCCTTCCCTTCTTCATCCTCTTCCCCCTCCCTTCCCCCTCTGCCCTTCCCCTCCCGCCCCCCCCCCCCTTCTTTATCCTCTTCCCCTCCTTTCCCCCCCCCCCCCCTCCGCCCTTCCCTCTGCCCGCCCCCTCCCTTCTCACCCTGCTCCTTCGCCCGCTCCTCCCTCGCCTTCACCCCTCGCCCTCTTCCCTTTCCCCCCTCCTCTCCCTGAGGCCTCTTGGGGCGTCTCGGGGGCCCTGTGGGCCGTCTTGAGGCCATCCTTGCCCGTCTTGACGCCCTCTTGGGCCGTCCTGGACTCCTTCTGGTGAACACCTCGAAGAGCAATTGGGATCGCGGTCATTTGTTTATTGGATCGTGATTCCATTGACCTTCCCCTAGGGAGGGTGAAATGGGGAAGGGGACAAGCCAAGCATCTCACGCGCCTTTATCACGCCCGGCAAGCCAGGGGTCGGCGCATCCTCGACTCCTGGCATACGAGGGTCCTCGAACCCTCGGCCCACTTCTCCCTCGAACCTCGGGCCCCGAAGCATTGATATCCTGCCTTCTCGACTCTTCGAACCTCGGGCCCCGAAAACCCTCAGTCCTGCACCCTCGCCTCCTCGGATCACGGGGCATGGGAACCTCGATTCTTCCTCGGAGCTCGGGCCCCGAAGCCTCGATCCTGTCTCCTCGACTCCTCGAACCTGGGGCCCCGAAGCCCTCGATCCTGCACCCTCGCCTCCTCGGAGCCTGGGGCACGGAGACCTCGATCGCTGCTCCTCGAGAATCCTGGAACCTCGGACCTGTCGCATTTTTGTGGCGACGTGGGCCCCCGTGGAGAGGTCTGGACCAACTCTCCGTGGGCCAACCTGTGGTGAGAGTCGTTTCCTTTTGACGGCCCCACGGAGCCGGGAGACGGACGGCCCCCAGAGGCCGAGCCGTCGAACACCCACTGCCGTCGAGGAGGAGGAGCGCGGCGCCTCGCGCGAGTCTCCCGAGCGGCCGCGGGGGCGGCCGACGAGCGACAGCGCGGCGCCCTCACGCCGCGATGGCGGAGAGGGCAAGGTCGAAGACAGTGTGGAACAAGACCCACTCGCAGAGGAGGAGGGCCAGGGGCGCGTCGACGTAGGCCAGCACGCCGCCGACGAAGCAGGGGCTGCCGCTGAAGAAGGCGCCGTGCCACCAGCCGGCCACGGAACGGCAGCGAATCACGACATGGTCGATCATCGCGCCGCGTGGCTGCGAGAGGGGCCAATCTGCGGGAGCAGCGCCACTGGGGTGCGGCGGGCACGAGGCGCCAGTCCCTTCTCGACTCGCCTGATCGCATCTTGCTGGTTGCGGCGCGTGGACTCGTTGGGCGAGAGCCCTTCGCACCTCAAGCCAAGCTTTCTCACTGTGCGGACATCACCCGCAGCACAGTGGGAACCGCAGCGTCTGCAACAGTAGACATCGTTGCCTTTGAACACGTCGTGCCCAAGTGTGGCGAAGGCGCTGCCTACCTCCTCGGCCAGGGCAGGTGGCACCAGGGCCGCGGGGGCCGAGGGCTGCGAGCTCCCTTCGAGCGCCAAGGCCGCGCCCATGGCCATGCCAGCCCTTTGGTCGCTGCAGAGGACCCAACCCTCGCCGAAGGTGCGGAAGTACTCGGCGTTGAGAGCACTGGTAACACGCGAAGGCCGACGAACACGATGGGAGCCAGCTTGCAGCGAATTGAGGGCGGAGCCTGTTGTGGCCGTGATTCCGCATTGGGTACATCGGTACCGCCCGAGGCTGGCACAGTAAGCCAGGACATGGTCCGTGCTACGTGCCACCACAATGGCCCTGGCCTGCTCGCAAGGTGGCCTGAGGACCTCCACGTTGCATCCCCATTATTTGCGAGCCACCACCTGCAGTGCCGCCCACGAAATAAACTGCAGGACCTTGCGGTGCTGTTTCAGCGCAGCAGTTACCGCCTCGGCAACCGACCCAGCCAGTGCGTGAGAGGCCGCACCGCAGCGCGCGAAGTAGTCTGCCCAGCCGTTGCCAAGCCAGTCGCGCAGCTCCTGCGGTTCTGTGCCCACAAGCTCCTCCAAGGACC